GTTAACCTTAAAGAAAGCCCTCAGGATTATAAAAGACCCCCATCACCCCAGCCACAAACTGTTCTGTCTGCTGCCGTCTGGCAGGCGGCACCGCACACCGCAGCACCCGGACTAAAACCACCAGACTCAGGGACAGTTTCATCCCACAGGCCATAAGACTGTTAAACACCTGAACTCTGTAAAGAACATCCATAACATTCATCTGGCTGCAATTTACAAATGATTTATCTAATATATCATATTCAATCACTTGCATATAGACTGTTATTGCGCTATTCCACTATTTTTTTTCTGTGTTGTGTTTTTTATTGTGTTGCACTGTTGTTTTCATGGACCTAACTACACTTTGTACGCATGACTAATAAAAGCCTTGAACCTTGATTGGTGTTCACATCTCTGTTATTATTTTCCACATGTTGATGATAAAGTAGCTGTAGAACATTTTCCAAATCTCAGAATTGCAACCAGGAGGCTGACACTGATGTCCTCCCCTCAGCTGATGGTAATGATGACATGAACATTAGGCTAAGTTATTTTTGTCTGTTCAAGGCTGTAACTGTTATTATAGGTTTGCAGGGATATGTACTTGCTGTGTCACTGATAGTTGCTCTTGTAGATGAAAACACGTGTTATGTCTCTCCAGTGACTATGATTGTAAGTGTATGACTGTTTTCTCCAGTCCAGTGTTAGAGGCAGTTTGAGAGTGGTAGATTATTCCTGCTGGGATTGACATGTCAACAGCAAGGTCATGTTTTTGTTTACAAATATTGTTGCTTTATTAAGCATACTGCTGTACCTGAGAGCTCCTCCAGCCTCTGAACGTTATGACCTTGCGTCGCCAGACATGTGCCTTTGTTATTAGCATGTTTTGTTTGTGTGACCTCTGCACAAGTGGACACAAGTTTTTTTAAAGTATTTATTGATTGTAGTCAAATAACTTCTTAAAAGGATGAAATAAAGACAACTCACAGTGCATGGATTATTTTTGTTTCGATTAAACGAGAGATCAAATGTGACTGCAGGGATTAGATAATCTGGACTCAAAATCAAAAGGACATGCTTTACTGTATGTACAGTATGAACAATGGTGCCCAGTGGATTCAGTTGCACAATTTTTTGTCAGTCTACACATTTAAACGATCACAAACCATGTGCTACAATACCCCACGATGTATAAACATCTGATATTTTATTCCTTATAAATTCTTCAATTAACATTATCTGAACAACAGAAGAGCAGACACATAATACACTGATTAATATAGTCACATTCGTAAAAAATAGCAAATGTTCCTTAGATAAAAGGAGTTACAGAAAAACATTGGAGAACCTGTCCCTACTTGAATTAAATATTTGTACAGTGGATTTACACATGTGATATCTGTGGAGCTGGAATGGTGTTTGTCTAGTCTATGATGGACTCACTGAGGTAAACAATCCAACACATTACACGTCATATCTGGGTAACAGCAACATCCAAGTGCATTTCAATTATACATCAAACCAATAAATAAAAAATGACCAGAAATCTTCCCGCAAATGAGAAATGAATCAGTTCAAGCTCACAGTTTGAAGTTTGAGTCTTTTCAACTTCTGTTAAGAATTGTTTAAGTGCTTTGTTAAAAAACTGAGTTATTAGAACAGTTTAAGATTCTCTGAAGCATTTACACCCTTTAAGTGAGAATACCATTGTTGGTGAGGAAACATTAGAATAGCTACTAAATATAAGCAATAGCCCCTGTTAATACCTATGGACTAAACAGAAGTTGGAAATATAGTTGTCCATTGAAGAGAAATCTGCTGTCAAGTTACTAAAAAGTGAAGAGTGTGAATTTGGTATCAGAGAGAGCTAGCTGTGAGGATCTTGTCACGGTTTTCTTTGTACTGGTGCAGCATCTCCTGGAGGTTTTGGTCAGCAGGAATCACCTGCATACACACATCAAACATCATGTTTAGAAATGCATGAGACAAGAACACACATGTCATGTTTGCTGAGACACCAGGAGAGGCAATAGAGTGATGCAGGAACACGTCTGGAAAGGAGTACTCCCGGACTCCCTTGTCTTGAAGTCAAGAGGTTTTTTTAATTATTGTGTTTTGACGATTAAATAAGGTCTGTGGTTAAGACAAGCTGAAGATATTTTTGAAGTTGATTCTACAACATAAAATACGTCAGTAAATGCCTCGCTGGTGAATGTTTTTAAAAAAAAAAGTTTTTAAATGGAGTCCTTGCATTGGTAACCTTGTCACCTTAGAAAACATGTCATCACTGCACGCTTCTATAACATCACATCAAAGGAGGGAACTATTAGATCACAGCTCAGAAAGCCACACAGATCTGCTCTGCCTCACCAGAACAGGAGCAGGAAGAGGGGAGGAGCTTTTCTTGATGAGCCAATCCTCATGCAGCTGGTGGATGGACTCCAGATACTCCTGGTGGACATGGTGAGCCATTAACAAAATGAGAGTCTTCACACTCTTCCCTTTAAGTTGGTTGGCAGCTTGTCAGTACTGTTAAAGCATATCTTGTGATTGTTAACGTCCTCACCAGTGGAATGACTTTCTCCTCCTCCCTGCTCCTCTGCTTCAGCCTCTCATGGCAGGTCTGAGGAGACGTCTGCAGGTACACTGCAGCCACAGGAGAGGTTCGGACACATTCAAATGAGACAAATGAGACAAGGGGGGGGGGGGGAGAGGTTATCATGCCTTTAAGACTGAATGTTGGGACCACTCATGGTATGGTTTCATGGGAAATGACAGGTTTTTCATTGCTTTGATTTGCAGTGCTAAAAGATTATTGCAATTTATGTGACTGGAATATATTCAATGAATATCAATGTTCCCTTCTTTAACATATCCAGAGGGAACACCTATACATCCAAATAGTTTTCTGGAAATGTGTATTATTAGGAATTGATGTTATGGTTGCTTAAAAAAAGTGTATAAAGATGTACTTTATCAGATGAGTTCTATCTCTGTTTAGATATGATCATTTGTAATCTGGGTAGGAACGCTGCAAACCCCCACCTCCTCTACAGTCAAATAAAGCAACATTAGGATATTACCTCTAGCACTGACGGCAACATATCAAACAGAATGCATTGTTTAATGTCAAAGATGTGATGTTTAACCTCAGAGGGCTTTGTCAACCAGAAAAGATCAAACAGGACAATCTGCTCCTCAGCTAAGAATAAACACCACCATACACATTACAATCTGTGTTATTTTTAGTAACTGGTGACAATAGATTTTTAGTTTCCAATCAATCTTCCTATAATAACGTAACTGTATTCTCCATTTTTCTTTTTGTGTCTGGCAGATCTTTTATTTCAATACACCTTTAGTAAATGTGGGTTTTTGTATTCTCACCAATCAGATCCACAGGAATGAAAATGTTAGTTGTGATCCAATCAAACCACTCGCTGAGGACAGCGAAGTCCACCTCAGGCATTTTGCCACTGAAAAGAAATATGATCAAATCACAGGTTTAGTAGTAATGTTTGGATTATTGATACATTTCTGACTGCTCATTCACGTCGCTGGTCATATATTTGATTGTTTAAGCCAAAACAACACATATTTAGCCTGGTTATTTATTTATACAGAATCAAATGTCATCTATCGTGATAACATTTGTAAACCATGACAGAAATTGAATTCATATTGCCCACCCACACATTCTCATTCTTACAGAGAAATGTGGACATAAAACAATTGTTCTACAACAGAATCCTTCAAAGCAGCATTATTTGAGATCAAATGATATGCTGTGAGGATCTATAGTTCTCTTTTGGACAGGCGTGAAGGTTCTAACACACATACCTCCTGTAGAGATTCTCCACAAAGATGTACTTGGCACTGAAGATGGAGCGCTCCATCATCCTCACAGGGGCTGACTGGAACAGAAACAGTAAGCACATACTGCTGATCACATTTTAATGTCAACACCTCAGCTATCCTTCTGTTGACAAAGCAGGTCGACATAGGAATTATTAAAATGGTGTAATCTAAAGCCACGTTTCCATTGCACGGTACAGCTTTATTTGTCTCCACTGCAGGTGGCAGCTCTTCAGTGTAGGCGAAGAGATCAGCTGTTCACCATAGCAACGCTTGAGACTCATGTGTAAACAGGAGACTTGCTGAATCCTTTCTTCAAAAACCTAACAGAGAAGCGTCTGCACTTAAGGCCCCTACACACCAAGCCGATTTCGGCCGTCGATAGATGGCGATAGATGAGCGTCTCGTCGCCCTACTCAGATTGGTGTGTCCCGCCCCGTCGTGTCTTTTCGGCCATGCCGACACCTTCCGCGGCCGATTGAACATGGTGAATCGGCCACGGAGCCTGCGGAGGCTGTCGGCAAAAGAAATCACTCTGATTGGCTGTTCAGCTTAGTGAAACACTATTTGTCTGAATGGGAGTGGAGCAGTACAGTACTTAAGTAAATGTACTTTGTTACTGTCCACAATCTGCCTAAAAGTATTTTAATGTTGTAGCTGTTCAAGATGGTCATTTTAAAATGTTTTAAAAATATACTGTTTGTAGATAAACCAATAATAATGCTAGGGCTGCAACTGACAGTTATGTAGGAACATTTTTATTTTTGTCTTAACGCTGTGTGATTAAAAGAATAAACACAAATAGGAGGATAGGCATACATATTTGCTATATCTTGCCCCACTGAAAAGGCACTGCACCAATTCTGTTAAAATATTGGCATAGTTCATCCCTGTGCTGCTTGGCTCGAGCTGTAGCATTTGTTGTTTGTATATCACACAGTCTGTCTTCCGGTTGTTGCCTCTTTTGAATGAAGAATACACACTACCGCTACCTGCTGGTAAGGAGAGTTATTTCCACTCACGCAGGCGCAGTGCATACGTGCTTCTTGGCTGGCGGCTGAAGTCTTTGCGGTGTGTTCCAGTGCGACTGTTGGCCAAGACGCAGAGATGTGAGCCGACACAACAGTCGTGTTCCGTCGGGATGTGTTCTTTGGTGTTTGTTGTTTTAATGTTGTAGCTGTTCAAGATGGTCATTTAAAAATGTTTTCAAAATATACTGTTGGTAGTTAAACCAATAATAATGCTACGGTTGCAACTGACAGTTATGTAGGCACATTTTTATTTCATCTCAACGTTGTGTGATTAAAAGAATAAACACAAATAGCAGGATAGGCACACATATTTGCTATATCTTTCCCCACAGAAAAGGCACTGCACCAATACTTTTAAAATATTGGCATAGTTCATCCCTGTGCTGCTTGGCTCGAGCTGTCACAGTCTGTCTTCTGGTTGCCTCTTTTGAATGACGAATACACACTACCGCCGCCTGCTGGTAAGGAGAGTTATTGCGACTCACGCATGCGCAGTGGGTACGTGCTACTTGGCCGTCGGCTGAAGTCTTTGCGGTGTGTTCCAGTGCGACTGTTTGGCCAAGACGCAGGAGACGTGAGGCGACACAACAGTCGGGTCCGTCGGGAAGTGTTCTTTGGTGTCAGTTCGGTGTGTAGCGGCCTTAAGGCTCACCCATTGGCTGTGCAAGGGTATCTTGCCTGCTGTCTGTGTACACTCAAAAAGAAGTGCAAAAGCAGCCTGACTCAGTGGAACATCTGTTGAGGTCATCTGTATGTTAGCATCTACAGTAGTTTGAGGTCTTGCATTTGTCCTTAGGCTTTAACTGTTGGTAGTGGTTTCAAAGAACTGTTAATGTCTACATGAATTGCTTTCAGCCAGCTATCCCTCTGTCCTTTCTGTACAGAGGACATTACCATGGTCTTTGCCCAGACTTGCAGCACAGGCAGGTGAGGTGTACCATTCAACTTGATCAAACTACTACCTCATAAACAGTTGTTGCAGCTTCATCACTTGGTGTAGGGGAATACATCCTCCTACTCCTTTCACCAATTAGATAGGTAGGAGCTACTTGCCTTCATGCACATTTCAAATGCAGATATCCAGGATGACCATGAAGTGGCCAGGCCCAGGCTGTTAGGGCCCTGTTTCAGGGATAGTGCTTAGAGGACATGTTCAAAATGTGTATCCATCATTGGATATTGTAGCAGAAAATATGGATGACCAATAATCGAATGTTTGTTTTGGATCTATGTTCTGATATTAGAACTCTGACTGTTGCCTTTGCCTACAACTTAAAAGTAATCACCCCTAACTCCCTTTGGAAATAATTCATATATCTGAAGTAGAACTGCGATTCTTCATTTCAAGAGTTATATTTTTTGACTTGATAGCTTCGGGCTCCAAAAAGCTGGCAGGAGTCTACGTGTTAGGGTTGTTTATCTGACCAGACGGGGTGGCAGTATCACCTTCCACCTCCACACCCACTGTCCTCAGACACTGTACAGTATCTCCTCATTATGTCAGGTCTGATATGCAAAGTAGCCCCAGGAACAACTGTAGCATGGCAGAGGCAGACAGGGGCAATGTTTGTGTGTTTGTGCACAAGCAAGGCTGTGTGTTGTACGTCCTCCTCTGTCTGTATTTGTGTGTCTGGATGGGCTCCCCAGCCAGTGGCAGCTCTTTAGCTATGATTTTACATAGAGAGGGTATCGAGTTCGGCATCACCACCCCAAGCAGATTAACACACACCTTATCCTCCTCTTGCAGGCTCAGCCTCAAGTGCAGGCTCAATATGGAAATGTAGTCAAATGGCCAACTGGCATCAGCGACAGGATAAGAGACTACAGAGACTTGGTAGTCAGGGTGATTCTCCTGCAATAACCATTTAGGCTTAATTTCTTTTAGAATTTAGGCTGTGTTGGTTTACTGTAAAAAAATAAATAAAACAAGTCCATAAAGTGCATATATGTGTGTGTAAACAAGGACACATATACGTGTTTCATTTGGACACCCTGTTTATTGCATATGTGTATGTGCATATGAGGGTGTGTATGTTTGTGCTTGATGCAGAATCAGTGGAATGAGAAAACAGAAAGCTCACCCAGGCATTTGGCTGCAGTCCTAATTGGCTGTGTGCTGTTGACAAGATGCTGACAGAGCACATCGCAACGACAGGTTCTCTGTTTCATCTTCTGGGTTTGTGAAAGTATTTCCTTTGACGAATTCCCCGCTCTACTCATTTCAAGGCATGAAAAAAAAAAAGTGCTGCCCTTTGACAAGTTACAAAGCTTGTTTTTCTTGTGTTTGGATACAATAGAAAGGGAATGTGGAGGCTGGAGATAGCCCAGCCTTAATGAGAGTGTGCTCTGCCTCTTATCTGGCCTGGGTGTTTCCTGCTCAGTGACCTGCTTGACTACCTAATGTATGTTTGTCACATCGACGCATTTTACTACTGGAATTTCTTTGGTGTATAATATACTTATATATACTCACCAGCGATACACAGCGAAACTCATCCTGAGCACAAACAAACTCACAGCCGAAGTAAAAACAATAAGTTTGGCTTGATATTGAGTAAGAAAAAGGTGTGTGTGTGTGTGTGTGTGTGTGTGTGTGTGTGTGTGTGTGTGTGTGTGTGTGTGTGTGTGTGTGTGTGTGTGTGTGTGTGTGTGTGTGTGTGTGTGTGTGTGTGGATTGGTTAATTTGGACCAATCAGCCTGGTCATAGCTCTGGGCGTGGCTTCTGGGTATTCAGACGTCACGATGCACAGGAAGAACATGAGAAATCTCCAACGAGGCGTTTTGGGGAGGTCTTCTCTCTTTTAAAGCTTTACTCCCTACAGGGTGTACTTTGAGGGTTTTTGACTCTGCAGACCGTTCACATGGATAAAAACCTTCATAACACACAAGGGGACGGGTAACAACCGGAAAAACATGGCATCGGACCTTTAATACGAGGTCCCTTCAGCTGACCTTTCCTTTTGTGTACACTTGATGTGAAGTTATGTCACAAGCATAGACTGGTCACAAGACAATTTTTACCGATATATTATTATCAGGGGGATTTACAATCTGTAAAGTCATTTAACAGGGGGGATGGCAAGGCAAGGCAAGTTTATTTATATAGCACTTTTCTGTACGCGACAATTCAAAGTGCTTTACAAAACAAATGTTCAACATTTGCTTACGAAAACAAATAAAAAGACTTTTTTAGGAATAAATACATTAAAAACATATTATACAATTTTACAACAGACATTACAAAGCAAAGATAATAAAATAATAAAAATAAACACCACAGGTATACAATACATGTTTAAAAGGCATATTGTAGTTCGAATATGATCATCTCAATTAAAAGCAGCGGCAAAGAGATATGTTTTTAGTCTTGATTTAAAAATAGTAAGCGTTTCTGCGGACGTGCATGATTTGGGTAGTTTGTTCCAGATTGTTGGGGCATAATAGCTAAATGCTGCCTCTCCATGTTTTGTTTTTACTCTCGGAACCGATAGCAGACCCTTCCCAGAAGACCTGAGGCACCTTGATGGCTCGTAATTATGCAGGAGTTCAACAATATACTTTGGTCTAAAACCATGTAATGATTTAAAAACTAGCAATAGTACTTTAAAATCAATTATTTGGCTGAATGGAAGCCAATGTAGAGATTTCAGAACCGGACTGATGTGATCCACTCTTTTAGTGTTAGGACACGTGCAGCAGCGAACCTCAGGAAGAGCAACTAAAGAGGAATCCCTCTTGAAAGACGGAAGGACGTGCAATAGATTGTGTGCATACACAATAGTCCTGATAAACATAATCAAAAATAGAATATAGACACTATATTAGGCCTCCATAGCTGAAGCCTGAGTTAAAAGAAAGAAAAAAAGGCAAAGAGAGACGCGTAGTAGTGCTTGTGTAACACAAACAAAAAGGGGTTATTAAAAAATGCAATGTTTTTTTACACGTCAAGTTAATATTATTTTTAGTGTGAATGCTGTGCCACAACATTCCACTATAGTACTTCAAATCTTTATTAGTGTGAATGCTGTGCCACTCCATAACTTCAGCTTACTTTCAGCTACAGGAACCATTCAAATATTAAACTATTCAGCCTGTTCAGGAATCGATGGGAAACCTTCAACTTTTAACTTTTAAAAAATATTTTATACTTTTTGAAATATTCAGCTTTTTAAACTCTTTTTTTAACATTGAAGTCAATGGGAGATGAGCCAATACTTTGACTCTCCATAACTTCAGCTTATTTTCAGTTACAGAAACCATTCAAATATTAAACTATTCAGTCTTTTCAGGAATCGATGGGAAACCTTCAACTTTTTCAAAATATTTCATACTTTTTGAAATATTCAGCTTTTTAAACTCTTTTTTTAACATTGAAGTCAACGGGAGATGCCTTCAAATCCTACACTTTGCGCCAAATGCTTCTCCTTCCACATACTTTCAGCTAAACACTTCATTCTAACTTTCAAATGATCACAAGACCTTCAGCTATTCAATTCCTATTCAGATATGTTTGATATCTTTTAAACTTTTTGAGATATTGAACTTAGTTTGGAGCTTGGTAGAGAGGCCTTTTTCAGATTTTAACATTAGAGTGGATGGAGCAGCTCGTTAAGCCTAGAGTGCTTTGATCTCAAAACAGAGTGGAGCAGAGCTTTCTCCCCCAAAAATGTTTTAAACTTGCCATAATTCCCAAACCCTACACTCCTCATACATATTGAAAAACGTTGGAAAACCTCTCCTAGGTTGGAAAATTAAAAAAAATTAAGAAAAAATCTTAAACAAAATGCCTCTTGAGGGCATGAAGAGAGAAAAAGTCCAGCTAGCTCCCAATTGATTCCCATGTTAAATTGTTCCGGATCTTTCTTCAGAGCAGAGAGAAGTACACTTTAGACAAACTGCTCCCATCTCCACATTTTACACACAAAACTCCAAATAAAAGCATATTTCAGTTAATTGGGGTTCCCTGATGCTCACGGTCTGGTAATCTTTTTATAGGAGCCATAGTTTTTGAACAGGTGGTAAAATTGTCAGATATACTGCTCAATGCATTCTTATGGGACTCAGTGCTGCAGTTGGTTGTCATGGTGTTGCTGGGCAG